CCAGATTTAGTTGGCGGCGGAGAGGACGAGGAAGAGGCGGGCGGAGGACGATGGTTAGTACAGTTCGATAGGTGCAGTAGATCCGAAGATGTATAACAAGTCCGATTCGAGCCCGGAATGTCCGTTGACACGGAGGACACGTTCGAAGCGGTTGTGAGTCGGCGTTGCAGAGTGGACGCAGCTGTGATTTACTTGCTTCGAGGTTTACTTTGACCGCGGCGATGCGGTTGGCTTCATAGATCGCAGCGCCTGTCTTTGCTGTCCCCCTCCAGGTCGGTCGGTCGGTCGATGGCGAGCTCTTCCGAATTGGTCGGATTAATTTGCAGACGCTTCAGGGATGACTTCAGAGCATCCTTGTATAGGCGAATTTGGCCCCCTCGGTGACGAGAACCCGTGGAGGCGTCTCCGTAGAAGAGTCGTTTGGGTAGTCGCTCGTCGTCCATGCGCACCAGGTGGCTGCTCCAACGCAGCTGCATTTGTCTCAGCATGGTGTAGATGCTGAGGATTCCCGTCCGTTCCAGTGCATCAGTGTTTGGGATGCGATCCTGCCAACTCAGCCTCAGGATGCGACGAAGACAACTGAGGTGGAAGTAGTTCAGTCGGCGTGCCTGCTTTGTGTACACTGTCCAAGTCTCCGTTCCATACAGCAGCATCGGAAGGATGACGGCCTTGTACATCTTCAGCTTCGTGCTGAGTAAAAGACGATGACGATTCTCAACTGAACTTTTCCGCATTCTTGTTTTGACTTACGACAACTCGTGTTCCGATTTCGTTGCCGTTTGCTGTTGATAGTTCATAAATCGTCTTTGTGCGCTTGAATCCTTTTTAGTTAAGCGCTACAAACATTCGGGAATTAATTCTGACTCACACCTTGTCGGACATGTATTACTTTGAGCGACAAACGTTTTCGGCAAGGACCAGCTCCGAACATTTGAGATTTACTCATAAGGGAGCTCGCTTTCAGTAACAACCTTGTACTGAAGTGGATGTTAATTTTCTTGCGTCTGTGCAAAGATTCATCTTTTCTGTCCTTTTTTACCCTTTTCTCTGCCGCTGTTCGTAGATTAAACGTGGCATCGTCACTATGTGCTAAGTTTTTCTTGTATATACTACAAATTTGGAGTTTTAATTATTGCTTAGATTAAGTGTTTGACACGGTCTCAAAGTGCAAATGCCGAGTAAATTAAAACTATTTTATTGGACTGTCTAAGTAGGCGAACACAGATTGTATGCGACAATTAAAACAGTGGTTGGGGGCGTTGGACATCTAACTAACAGGTCGCGCGATCAAGCCCCAGGTGTTCCACACTCTGGGGGTGAGTGTAACTGGCTGGCCTCGGCTAATAAGGCAGAACTGGCCATTCCAGTCCCCCTTGTCTTTGTCGTTAATACCATTCTGCCCATATCATGCGCCACCGTGCGGCTGCTGGTTGGGCTCGAGAGAGCCCGCAAGGCACAATGGGAGGAGTGAGTTCCGTAGAAACGATCGTTGAGCGCCTGTCTACTAAAACAATTTCTTCAAAAAAGAATCGGTCGAAAACATGCACTAGTGATAAGACATATCGAAGTAAAGGCAAGCCTCCCCTATGTTTGAAATTTGGGCTGCGCGCCTCGACCTTTGCATTTGCAGTTGCTGGTTATATCAAAGGTATGACATGTCAGGATGGAGAAGCAACGCTTAAATGCCCGCTAAATAACAGTGGGGGACGAAGCGCTGTGTCCAAATGCAAGTAAAGGCCGTGGAAGCTGCCGACGCTGCAAGAGAAGGGAGTTGCGGCCAGTTGCAGAATGGGGGTCCGCAGTAAACAGGGAAATGCACTGGCTATTCCTACCGACAGTTCGACTGTCTTTCTCAACGATTTCCAGCGTGTGCTCCACAGCGAGCTGAGATCAGGGACGGTGACATGCGCGTGAACTAGTTTGCAGTGATAGCGGACTTGCGCTGCCTCTGCCGCACACCTTCCTACCCACCTGGGCCCAGTCTCAAGACACAGATGAGAAGACCGGAAGCGAGGTAGGGCGCAGGTGGATGGCACGGTCAAACCCGCATCCTGGCGTTCCACTTCACGCCCACTGATATGCACGGCAAATGACCGGAATTTTAACCAACAGGGACGGCAGGGGTCCAGTGTACGCGACGTCTGCCGGCGACTGGATCTGTCACCGCATACTGAAATGTTGCGTTTATTATGGTGTGCATTCCCATTACGCATGCCAGAGTCCAAAATGGCCCCCATACTGGTCCAGTGCATTTACCACGTGGCCCGTTTGGGGGGGGGGGGCGCACTCCCGCCGAGAAGCAGTTAAGCCAGCGCCATTCCAGACCCGCTTGGAAAGTGGTTTCTTCGTCCAAGCAACGCAAGCCAGTTCGCCGGGTGTTGCAATTCTTGTCTTTACGTTTCCGTTTCTGAAAAACCAGCAGTAATATTAAGAAACGACTTTGCAAATAATTTAAAAAGCACTCTAAATTTGTATGGTATATTTCCAAAAAGTGATCCAAATTTTTCCACGCTTGTTCGCGACGTCTGACAGAAGGTTTCCTCTTTTCCATTCAAATGAAAGTGTTTAAATGAAATGTTGCTTTGTCTACTGTTTGCACGTTCTTACAAGCAGACTCGAAACGTTGCGAAAGCAGTTTAAGAACCCATCTTATATGCTCATTATCGGATCATTCTAGAATCGCCTAGATATTTAAATTGCCTTCTAGAAGGCGTTTTTTCACTGTTTCGCTAAGTTCACCAACTTTTTCTGAAAGCTTCTAAGGCAACGGTTGGTTGTAGGACTCAAAGCGTCTTTTGCATACAAAAGACTGCCCATTATACTTGCATAAGGAGGTCGTACTGAATACTACTCTAGAAACAGACTTTTCGTTCCTTGTAGCCCTTCCGCCTTTGTTTGTCTGCAGCCATTGAGCTACCTTATAGTACACATTTTCCGTGCTGATTCCAATAACTTATTAGCCAACTTACTATTACAGCCTGCGCGGGCGTTATCCCTTCAGTTTACCATAACCTCGCATGAGTTAAGGTCAGAGAGTTGGGGAGCAATCGTATTGCCGCCGTCCACCATCGTAGATGTTACTCCTCAGCTTACCATTACCCACATGATCTAAGCTCAGAGTTGAGAAGCGATCGTATCTCTTTGGTCGTCCGTCGCAGGCGTTATTTTAAGATAAACAGCCGAGAAAACGATCATTTTGTTGCAGTCCCAATGTCTTTGGTATTACAAAACGGTTAGATTGTAATGGTTTTATGTTAGGAAGATTACTTACAAAACTGTCGACTGCTAGCGTGGAAGTTTTCAATTATACTAGGCATGTCTCAGCTACGTGAGACAGGAAGTCTTCCCCATGGCACTTAGGCTAAACCATAGGCGATACTACACTTCATCAACAGACATCCTTCTTGGTGATTCCTTTTTTGTCGATTGTGAGTCGGTTCCTTTCAAATATCGAACCACTTCCTAGGGATATCCTCCCTCGGCATCTAACATACCTGAAGGAACATCCGTCTATGTGGCGCCTCCGGACTTATTGTTTCGTAAGCTGTCTGCCTTAGCAGGTTACTGCAGTTGACAGTGGTCCTATTGCCTTGCAACACTCCATCACCTTCTCCAAATTCATCAGTTCCATTATTCCTTCAGGTAACGCCCGAAAATGTGACCGGGTTTGCCCATTTTTTGTCTCCTGTATCCGATAACCTGCAATTTTGGGGAAAATACCTTGTTTAAAACCCACAGCACACAAGCCCTTCATTTAAGTTATGCCCTGTCTAACTACTTAAAATGTTTAAAATCCATACATTCGTTCACAGTTATGCTACACCGAAATTAACGGCTTTCCTTATTACTTTCGTTTTTCGAATTTCGCAATGCGTGCCGAGTTGGTCTGCATTCACTGGCATCGAAAAATCATACACAAAATTTTGATGCAGCTAGCTTGCCTACATCTCTTTCTTCGTTTGCAGTGGTTGAACTCTCCTCGGATTCCTGACCTGCTGTAAACTATCCAGCGGTGGTTTACTCAAATTGCCTCATTTTTAAAAATTGTTTATTGTTTATTTTTTATTAGCGTGCCTGCTTTTCATTGCTATATGCCACCGAATGAAAAATTGTACGTCACAGAAGTAAATATCTTACTTATTTTTCCTATTTTTTTATCAGTTCACCTACCACCAATATACCCCACCCCTAGAACCCGTATTTTCACATTTCTCATATGACATGATCCTGTGGCTGATCACAGATGTTTGAGGTCCTTTACCTTACCAATGTTCATTCCAGTTTGGAATTTGTGGATATTATCGTCAAAAGTGTTCTTCGCGAATGGCCAAATCGCTGGCGGGCGTGAAAAAAAATCGGCATACTTTGAATGACCTTGTTTCTCAATTCTATTGTACATCTGGCGGCGCGCACAGAGCCCTAATGTCTACAATGTTTGCATTATATCCATCGACCCATTGCCACTGACTACAGCAGAGCCTTTGACAGGGTGCCACACAGACGACTCATATCTGAACTGCGCCAAATGGGTGTGACTAGTAACCTGCCCAAGCGGTTGGCCGACTCCCTCACAGGCCTACGCCAGCGTGTGTGCATTGGTGACGCCAAATAGGTGGGGTCGCGCAGGGGAGCGTCTTGGGTCTAATTCTGTTCTTGATATATGTGAACGGCTGCGTAGATTATCTGACCTGCGAGAAGGTAATGCTCGCTGATCAGCTGAAGATTGGGAGTTTGACTGAAATATCAGATGACGGCTGAACTTGCAAAACAGCTTAGATAGGCAGCAAAAGTGGTGTGATGAATGGCTTCTCAGTCTCAATTTCACAAATGCCAATTCATTCGACTAAGGTCTGGTTACAGAAAGGATTTGAGATCTAAATATCAATATTTCATCGCAGGTCATAAACTCGAGCTTGTGAACGAGACAAAGGACCTAGGTGTGTGGATGACGTCCACTCTGAAACTCTCGTCTAACTGAGCCAAAATGGCAATGAAGGCAATGTGTATCTTGAGAGCAATCAAAAGATCCCTCCTTAACTTTGACGAAGAAGTTTTCGATCGGCTGTTTGGAACGTTTATCCGGCCGATTTTAGAATATAACATTTTGGCTCGGCGCCCCTGGGTAAGGCATGATTGCATTCTCTCAGAGAAGGTGCATCGAAGGACGATTAAACTAATCGGTGGGCTAGAGAGTCTCCCTTATGGGGAACGGTTTAAAAAGCTCAAACTTTTCCTCTCTCATACGCGATGCGGAGGGGACATTATCGTGGTTTTCAAACTCTTCAGAGGAGTGGACTGTGCACCTCAATTGGCCGATTTCTTTGAACTAGCACAAACAACCAATCTCCGAGGCCATCGATGGAAATTGAAGACAAAGTCCGCCAAACTTGACGTACGTTGGCCAACGTCTTCTATCACCTGGTAATTGAAGATTGGAACAAACTGTCGAATTCAATTGATTTGGCGGAATACGCTCACATATTTAAGCGACCACTTGATAACGTATATTTACTTTATAAGGACTGATCAACTGTGTCGTATGTCTGCATACACACGTGCACGTTTTTTTCAGTTTCTGTCTGTAAACAGGGTTTCAAAGGTTCTGCATATCTCCCTTATATATGCTGAAATTATGCTAAAATTAACTTTGTTTTGTTAAAAGTAATACTGTCATTATTATGACGCTGGTCGCGTTGTTTCGTACATCTCATTTAACTCCGCTCCGCTTGCGTTA